TTTTTTTTTTTTTTATCGTATTTCCTTACTTGGTTTTCTTCCAGATATCCATGAGCAGAACAGTAAGAAGCCGGTAATGGTTTATATCCATGGTGGATCTTACATGGAGGGCACAGGGAATATGATTGACGGGAGCATTTTGGCCAGCTACGGAAATGTGATCGTCATCACCATCAACTACAGACTGGGAATCTTAGGTAAGTGGTTTCCTCGGGAGGAGTCCGGGTCGGGCAGGTGTCTGCCTTTCGTTCTGACCGGGCTCTTGGAGTTTGGGGGTGTTCCTCAAGTTTCTGGAGAACTCTGGACCACAGTGCTGACTTTATGTGGCTGGATAAGCATCTTTTTTTAAATGTGTGCACACGGCATGGTCTTTTGTTACCCGGATTGATAAACCAGGTCCTCGTCTTACAAAGACAATGAATGAATTCACAGACAGAGAGAAATGGCAAGTGAAAGTGAAGTTTATGAAGGACAGTCAGAGAAGTAGATTTAATGGAGAAGAAAGGAGGAAAGGAACGATCCCCCACAGCAGGGTTGGGGCAGGGGCGTCCTCAGCTGAGTGGTTGTCCCTGGAACCTAAATGTTGAAGTGATCATGTATGTTGTCTAACTTTATCCATCTTCTTTGAGCAAAGGGGAGGGAAACGTAGGTTCATTTGTGTTTCAACTTCTGGCACCAGAGTTACCGGGCCAAGAGGATCTGGCCACTTTTCACTGTCAGCCAACGTGCAGGGATGTGGGTGGGTCCACCTAACCTTCCTTGTCCGAAGGCTGGCGACTCTGGACAGCAGTGAGAGTGGCCTGTCCAAGACGGTTCTGTTCTTCCATTTCCAAAATCGCAGTTTTATCCGTACGAGTTAAAAGCAAGAACCCTATTAACCTTCATCTTAAACAACCTTACTAGCCGTAACCCGTGACCCATAATAAACAACAGTTGACATAACCCATGACCCCAAACAACACTGCAGTTGAGAACAGTCTCCTAAATCAAACCACCTGAACTATTCAAGGTAGGTGTCCTTAGGGTGGGAGCTAAATTTATAACACAGGAAGAACCGGAGACAGGAGTGAAGGTCAGACATTGTGTGCAGGGAAATATTTTACCCCATTCCCTAACTGATCACCTGTGCACACGGGGCTTGGAAGATTTGCTATGGTTTTCATTCCACTGCAATCCGCCTGGATGGAAATTCAGCTTTGACATTGGTTCCATTTAATTATTTATGATTAAAGGACACGGGCCAATACAGGGAAATTCGAGCTTAGATCCATGCGGTTAAGCTGTTTCATTCCTCCTGCGCCATGTGTGGTTAGAGAATGATTCCTTTTTGGCAGTAAGATTTAAAGACATACTTTTCTGGTGTGGATTCCTGCTGCTGCTTAAATAATGCTCTTAGACTGATGGAGACACATTTGTTTTCAAAGCAGAAATGCATTGAAAAGGTGCAGAAAATGAAGAGTTGAACACGTTAGCCATGAGAGAGATGTGTCTGTGGGTTGCAACATGGGTGTGGTACAATATGAGATACAAAGTAAAGTGGAGTAAGGACATTTGATGCACCAGGAATGGGGTTGATGATGCTTCAAATAAGGAAATACTACCAAGAATGTTCTCTTGGCTCAGTGGTTGCAGGACTGGCCACATACACCAAGGCTGGCGGGTTCCACCCCAGTCCAGGCCTGCTAAACAACAATGATAACTGCAACCAAAAAATAGCTGGGCGTTATGGCTGGTGCCTGTAGTCCCAGCTACTTGGGAGGCTGAGACAAGAGAATCACTTAAGCCCAAGAGTTTGAGATTGCTGTGAGCTGTGATGGTACAGCACTCTAAAGAGTGTGACAGCTTGAGACTCTTTCTCAAAAAAAGAGGGCAGTGCCTGTGGCTCAAAGGAGAAGGGCACTGGCCCCATATACTGGAGGTGGTGGGTTCAAACCCAGCCCTGGCCAAAACTGCAAAAAAAAAA